TTATTTATTTTTTTGAGACAAAGTCTCACTCTGTTGCCCAGGCTGGAGTGCAGTGTCACGATCTCGGCTCACTGCAACCTCTGCCTCCCAGGTTCAAGTGATTCTCCTGCTTCAGCCTCCCGAGTAGCTGGGGCTGCAGGCATGTGCCACGACACCCAGCCAATGTTTGTATTTTTGGTAGAAACAGTGTTTTACCATGTTGGCCAAGCTGGTCTCAAACTCCTGACCTCAGGTAATCTGCCCACCTCAGCCACCCAAAGTGCTGGGATTACAGGCGTGAACCACCGTGCCCAGCCAAAAACATTAAATTTTCAATTCTTTTTTATGATAATGTGAGAAACAAAGACGCTCTTACATCCTGGCCTCCACCACCTCCTGATGTCCTTCTAAATACGCCCCGTACTGCCCACCGTGTTCCCATGCGAGCCCCGGCCTTCCACTCATCTCTGGCCTTTAGCACAATCCTGGCCCACACCCTACCCCAGGGCCTTCCCCATTCTCACCCTGGCTCCATCCCGTCTCTTGCCTTCCACTCCTTCCCAATCATCCCATCCACCAGCCCATCACATCCTAGTCCCCACTCCACCCCAACCCTCACCCAGCTCTGCCTCTCTGTCACCGCAGCCCTGACCGCCTTCCATCCCCGGCGCCGCCCCATCTTCCTCTCCCACCCTCGGAAACAGGTGGGGTGCACTGATGGAGTGATGGGGGTGAGTTCTGGAAAGCTGGAGTCTGTGATTTTGGTGAAAGCTCCCGTCTAAACCCTAATGTGGATTTCTTTAGCCCTCCATGCAGTGTCTGGGCTGCAGGGACAGTGCAGTGTCCCGTGGGACCAAAAGTCACCAACTCAGAGCCAGAGCCAAGGGCTGCTGGGCCTCCCTCTGACACCGCAGCCCTGGGAAAGTCTTGGGAGTGGGGAGTTGTGGTGAGGGAAAATGTGGTGAGGGGAGGGCCTCCCCCAGGCAGAAGCCCATCATCCGTTCACCCCAGTTCCCCAGAGCGAAGAATTTGGAGCCACAGAGTGCCCAGTTTCATTGCCAGGTATTTGGGCCACATCTGGAGAACACAGCCAGGTGGCTTAGCAGGTGCCTGCGTGAGTCCCAGAGGCACCCTGGGCACTCCCTCATCCTGATGCACACAAAGATGGGCATCATCAACAGGCCGTGGACACAGCAAAGGTTCCGGACAAGGTCATCCAGGCAGCACTTCCAGAAACATAACACACACATGCACACACATGCACATAGATGCACACGCATGCACATGTGCACACATACACACGCACACGTATACACATACACATGTATGTGCACAGGCGTGCACATATACACACATGCACACGCACACGTAAACACATACATACAAATATACACACATACATATGCGCACAAACACTACACATGGATACACACATACACATATACACATGCATATGCACACACATACACATATATACACATACATACACACAAGTGCATATGTGTAGATATTGATGGTCACAGGCATATACATGTACACTCTCACACAGACACATGTGTGGCCTTGCACGGACAGACCCACAGAGAGAAACACATGCATGCCATATAGAACCAGTTGTGGACCAGGTGCGGTGGCTCACGCCCATAATCCTAGCACTTTGGGAGGCCAAGGCGGGTGGATCACCTGAGGTCCTGAGTTCGAGGCCAGCCTGACCAACGTGGAGAAACCCTGTCTCTATGAAAAATATAAAAATTAGCCAGACGTGGTGGTGTGTGCCTGTAGTCCTAGCTACTTGTGAGGCTGAGGCAGGAGAATCGCTTGAACCCACGAGGCGGAGGCTGCAGTGAGCTGAGATCGAACCATTGTACTCCAGCCTAGGTGACAGAGCAAGACTCCGTCTCACAAACAAACAAAAACCAGTTGTGTATGCACACCCACTTGCACACCCCTTTAGGTACAGTAGCTTGACCAGCCCGGCCAGGGCTGTGGCTGACACAGACTACCCACCCCACTGTGAAACAGCAGGTTTTGTGCTCCTTGGCAGCCTCCTTCCCTGTTCATGAGAATTCTTTCCATGACAGTCGAACTTAATGTTTGGTTGGAAACTCCGTTCCTACAAAACCCTCTTTGATGCGGCAGAGACGATGATCAGCCTTCAGCTGGGAATCTTCAACTACGAGGAGGTAATGGGGTGAGGGCACAGGTGCTGCCATCTACACTGAGCCTCTATGAAGATGAGAAAAAGCACTCCCTGCCCACCCCACCCCGTGCCATCCCTTGGGCCCATGACCTGGCAAGCATCGGGCAAGTTTGGACAAACAGAAATGCTTTCCCTCCCCTAGGTGGACACCCCTGCTAGAGCCCTCAGCTTGCCTTTGGGACCCCTGCTCACAGAGGAACATCGGGCACTGGCTACTCAGGGGAGGGCTGTAGAGGGGTCTCCCAAAGGAAACACCCCCTACCCTGGGCAGAAAGGGCAGCATCTTTGGAGGTGGCAGCGGTGGAAAGTGAAGGGCTGCCCATTCCCTCCTTGCCCAGCTCTCTCAGCCTCAAGCAGAGGGGACCTTCCTGGCTCCAGGCTCTGCCTAGCTCTGAGGACCGTTTTCCCTCTGAGGGTTTCCAGTAGGGGAAGTGGCTGCTGGGACCCAGGACACTCGATGACCCTGGCTTTCTTTCTGACAGGTCCTGGACCATAGCCCAGTGCTTGGCTCCTTCCTCATTGGGTCCTGCATCGTTTTTATGACATTTGTGGTGCTGAACCTGTTTGTCTCTGTCATCCTGGTGGCCTTCAGTGAGGAGCAAAAATACTATCAGGTGAGTCGCTTTGTCCTATTCCTGATCAGCCATTGATGCTGAACTATGAAGAGGCTGGAGCGGCATTAGACTTTAGAGGACTTGAGAGATCATTGTAGCTCAGAGCCCTCATTTCACAGGAGGGGAAACTGAGGCATAGACGGAGGACATTAATTCTCCAAAATCACAAGCAAGTGAGGGCCAGGGCTGGTGTCAGAGCCAGGCCTCCTGATTCCCAGTTTGGGACTCTGTTCACAACACCAGCGACCTCCACCCTGAGTGCACCTTAGAATCACCTGGGGCCTTTTGGAAACAACGGCTGCCCCACCAGAGACCAACACCAACAGAGACCAACACCAACAGAGACCAATACCAACAGAGACCAACACCAGCAGAGACCAACACCAACAGAGGAGACCAATACCAACCGAGACCAATACCAACTGAGACCAACACCAACAGAGACCAACACCAACAGAGACCAATACCAACAGAACCTCTGGGGTAATGAGCCAGCCCTTGGTATGTTTGAAGTCTCTTTGGGAATTTTTTTTTTTTTTTTTTTGAGATGGAGTTTTTGCTCTTGTTGCCCAGGCTGGAGTGCAATGGCATAATCTTGGCTCACTGCAACCTCCACCTCCTGGGTTCAAGCAATTCTCTTGCCTCAGCCTCCCAAGTAGCTGGGATTACAGGCACCTGCCACCACACTCAGCTAATTTTTTTGTATTTAGTAGAAACAGGGTTTTACCACGTTGGTTAGGCTGGTCTTGAACTCCTGACCTCAGGTGATCCACCAACCTCGGCTTCCCTAAGTGCTGGAATTACAGGCGTGAGCCACCACACCCAGTCCTCTCTTTGGGTAATTTTAATGTTAATGAACAGCCAAGGTTGAGAACGTATACTGCACTCCAAAACCTCAACCCACGTCTTCATGGCTCAGAGGGCAGCAAGCTGGGCACTCATGGTCAACCTCACATCCATTTTTTTTTTCACAGAAAAAAAAATACAAATTTTTATTTCTACTAAACTCTCTAACACAGAACACTTTCTGACCAAATGTGTGGAGATTTTCACCAAGCAATTCTCCAGTTGGCCTGCTGAACTCCCTGCAGGAAGAGGGATATGAGCACATAGACTGCAGATTAATAACAGCCACCAGCACCACCCACAGAGCACCCTCTTCACAATGGAAGTTGTGCTGAAGGCTTTGCACATTTTATTTAATCCTCACAACAGCTCTGTGAAGTAGGTATAATTATTCACAACTTACAGAGAAGGAAACCAAGGCTCACAGAGTTGAAATCATTTACCTAGAACCACAGAGCTAGAAAGTAGGAAAGGTGGAATTTCAACCTGGGTCTGTCTGACTTGGATGTATGGTTTTGTTTTGTTTTTTTCCTGCCCTTCTGGACGTATAGCTGTGTGAAGGGTGACATATTATGCAGCTCACCCTTCCTATCCCAGTTGAAAGGTTCTTTCAATCTGTATGCCTAAGCCAGGTGTGGTGGCACACACCTGCAGTCCTAGCTACACAGGAGGCTGAGGTGCGAGGATCACCTGAGCCCAGGAGGTGGAGGCTGCAGTGAGCTGTGATCATGCCACTGCACTCCAGCCTGGGTGACAAAGCAAGATCCTGTCTCAAAAGAAAAAAAAGGAAAAATCTGCATGTCTAACAAAGAAACCCTTAAGACACTCTTCTTTGAATTTTTCCATTTCTATACAAGAGCAGCAATTTGGTATTGTTGTTGTTTTTCTAAATTGCAAAAGATTTCTTAAAGGTGACATACTCCATCATGTTAAAGGATCATTTTAAAGAGTTATTTTTCCTGGAAACCAGGAAATTATTGCCCACAGGATTCAAGAATGCTAAGAATGCTGCCCCTCCTCTGTTGCTAAATGGTCTCTGGTACACTTGTAACGTGTGTCCCCGATCTGTGTTTGGAAAGGAAACACAAATTTTTACTTCTACTAAACTCTCACTAAACACAGAACACTTCTGTGACCAAATGTGTGGAGATTTTCCCCACACACCAAGCAATTCTCCAGCAGACACCAACTGGGTATCTTATACCAATTGGGCATCCCTAATCCAAAAATCAGAAATCCAGAATGCTCCAAAATCCAAAGTTGTATGCATGCTCACATGAGGTGACACGTGGAAAATTCCACACATAACTACTTAATACAAACTTTGTTTCATGCACAAAATTATTGAAAATACTGAGCCAGTGTTCACTCAGCAGCACATATGCTAAAATCGGAATGCTACAGAGAAGATCAGTGTGACCCCTACGCAAGGAGGTCATGCAAATTTATGAAGTGTTTCATATTTTAAATTTTAAAGTAAAAAAAATATATACTGGGCTGGGCCCAGTGGCTCACGCCTGCAATCCCAGCACTTTGGGAAGCTGAGACAGGAGAATCACTTGAGGCCAGGAGTTCAAGACCAGCCTGGGCAATATAGCAAGACCCTATCTGTACAAAAAATACAAAAATTTGCTGGGCCTGATGGCATGTCCCTCTTGTTCTAGCTACTGGGGAGGACAGCTTGAGCCCAGGATGCAGTAAGCCATGATCACACCACTGCTCTCTAGCCTGCATGACACAGCAAGACCCTATCTTTAAAAAATAAACAAATAAGAATTAAAAATACACATTGTATAAAATGACCTCCAGGCTATGTGTATAAGGTGTATATAAACATAAATAAATTTCCTCTTTAGTCTTAGGTCCTATTCCCAAGATACCTCATTATGTAAATTCCAAAATCTGAAAAAAGTCTGAAACACAAAACACTTGTCATCCCAAGCATTTTGGATAAGGGATACTCAACCTGTATAACAACTATTTACATAGCATTTACGTTGTGTTAAGTATTATAAGTACTTAATGGTACTTATAGATGATGACTTAAAGTACACAGGAGAATGTGTGTGGGTTATATGTAAATATTATGGCTTTTTTTTTTTTTTTTTTTTTATCAGAGACTTGACCATCTGAGAATTTTCTTGTGACCTGCCCCTTCCTGAAGCTATCTAGGGGCCTGCCCTAAGTCACTCATTAGCAAAAACTCAGGTGTCGTGAAAGAGGGCTCATTATGAATAGCAAAAGATACTCCTGTTAGTAAATTCTAAGGGTTTCAGGAGCTCTGTGACAGGAACCAAGGTCAAAGACCAAATATGGTTCATATTATACCACAATGCCTTTGTCCTGCAAAAAGATTTGATATATCAAAAACAATTTTGTGGCATTGGGGAAATATTTCCATTTTAGCAAGGAAGCAGAGAGCATTGCTAGGTCTGATGCCCAGGTACTCCAACTGTACCTTAATTTGGAGATGCAATTAGGTAGCCAGAGTGGGTTCCTTCTACCAGAAGACTCAACTCATCCATTGTAAATAAATTATATTTTTAACAATGAAGATATATTTCACATGCCATAAAATTAACCATTTTAAATCATACAATTAAATGTTTTTTAGTATATTCACAGAGTTGTGCAAACATCATCACTAATTCCAGAATATTTTCTTTTTTTTTTTTTGGAGACAGAGTCTTGTTCTGTCACCCAGGCTGGAGTGCAGTCGCGTGATCTTGGCTCACTGCAACCTCTGCCTCCCGAGTTCAGGTGATTCTTCTACCTCAGCCTCCCGAGTAGCTGGGATTAAAGGTGCCCACCACCACACCCAGCTAATTTTTTGTATTGTTAGTAGAGACGGGTCTTACCATGTTGGCCAAGGTGGTCTCGAACTCCTCATCTCAGGCAATCTGCTAACCTCGGCCTCCCAAAGTGCTGGGATTACAGGTGTGAGCCACCACAGCTGGGCCCAGAACATTTTCAATACCACAAAGAAGCCCCCTACCTATTAATAATCACCTTCCATATCCATGCCTCCAGCCCCTGGCAACCACTAAACTACATTATATTTCTTTGGATTTGCCTATTCTGGAAATTCATATTCATATAAATGGGCTCGTACAATACGTGGCCTTTTGTGTCTGGCTTATTTCATTTAGCATCATGTTTTCAAGATTCATCTATGCCGTAGCAGGCATCCACATGTCATTCCTTTTTATGGCTGAGTCATATTCCTTTGTGTGGATATAACAACAATGTGCTTATCCGTTCCTCAGCTGATGGGTATTTGGGTTGTTTCTGTATTTTGGCTTTTATAAACAATGCTGCTATGAACATTTGTGGTCAGGATTTCCTATGGACATATGTTTCCACTTCTCTTGGGCATATACCTAGAAGTGACATTTTTGGGTTACACAGTAACTCTTTAATTGTTTGAAGACCTGCCACACTGTTTTCTGAAGCAGCTGTACCATTTTAGATTCCCAGCAGCAATGCGCAGGACCTGTGTACATAAATTCTTCTGTTTGTTTGCTCGCTTGCTTTTGAGAAAGGGGCTTGCTCTCTCACCCAGGCTGGAGTGCGGTGGTGCAATCTCGGCCCACTGGAATGTCGGCCTCCCGGGCTCAAGCCATCCTCCCACCTCAGCCTTCCCAGTAGCTGGGACTGCACCACGCCTTTTTTTTTTTTTTTTTTTTGGTAGAGTTGGGGTTTCCCCGTGTTGGCTGGCCTGGTCTCAAATTCCTGGGCACAAGCGACCCGCCTGCCTCAGCCTCCCACAGTGCTGGAATTACAGGTGTGAATCATCACACTGGCCTGATGTTTAAACTTTTTTTTTTTTCTTGAGATGGAATTTTGCTCTTGTTGCCAGGCTGGAGTGCAATGGCACAATCTCGGCTCACTGCAACCTCTGCCTCCTAGATTCAAGCAATTCTTCTGCCTCAGCCTCCTAAGTAGCTGGGATTACAGGCATGTGCCCAGCACGCCCAGCTAATTTTGTATTTTTAGTAGAGACGGTGTTTCACCATGTTGGCCAGGTTGGTCTTGAATTCCTGACCTCAGGTGATCCACCCACCTCAGCCTCCCAAAATGCTGGGATTACAGGTGTGAGCCATCATGCCTGGCTGTGACTTAAAAAATTATTTGTAGAGGTGGGGTCTCACTATAGTGCCCAGGATGGACTCAGATTCCTAGAATCAAGTAATCTTCTCACCTTGGCCTCCCAAAATCCTGGGATTACAGATATAAGCCCCCGTGCTCAGCCTGTACATAAATTCCACCCCAGCCTCTGTTGGCGTGGTAGAGGGCGTTTTCTGACCAGTTTACTGAACATGCCTGTTTGGCACCTACATCCCTTATGTGAAGTCTGCCATTCCTGTTTCCTAAAATTTGTTCTTTCTTTGCTTTAAGTCACTCTTAAATATGTATATATGGTTGAGAAGTGTCCGGAGAGAAACACTTATTGAGTTTTTCATTCCCAGAACTTCCTCCCATACCAAGCCAGGCCAGAGGATAAACACAGCAAGCAGAAGGAATAATAATAAGGAACTAAAGGGCCGGGCGTGGTGGCTCACACCTATAATCCTAGCACTTTGGGAGGCCGAGGTGGGTGGATCACCTGAGGTCAGGAGTTTGAGACCAGCTCCATCAACATGGTGAAACCTTGTCTCCACCAAAAATACAAAAATTAGCTGGGCATGTTGGTGGGTGCCTATAATCCCAGCTACTCGGGAGGCTGAGGCAGGAGAATCGCTGGAATCCGGGAGGCAGAGGCTGCAGTGAGCCGAGATTGAACAACTGCACTCCAGCCTGGGTGACAGAGCCAGACTCTGTATCAAAAAAAAGAAAAAAGAAAAAAAGAATGAAAGGAGCCACCACCAACACTCTGACCTACAGGAAAAGGGGAGACGCTCATCTCAGAAGGGGGCCCACGTGCTGTTTAACTTCAGGGTCAGCCGCCCAGCCGAGGCTTACTCTGCGCTGGCTTGGGAATTTGAAATGTTGCCGTGAAAACCCAGTCATCCTCAACAGAGAGGAGGAGGGACCCCCTGAGGATAAAGGATGGAGCACACACCCTTGGGATTCCTAGAGGGAGGCCTTCCCACCCTAAAAAAGCTCTGAACAGTGAAGGGACCTAGGTTGGGACCAAACTGGACAATAAAACTGATTTGAGCTGGGCACGATGCAATGGCTCAAGCCTGTCATCATCCCAGCACTTTGGGAGGCCGAGGCAGGCGGATCACTTGACGTCAGGAGTTTGAGCCCTGCCTGGCCAACATGGTAAAACTCTCTCTCTACTAAAAATATAAAAATTAGCCTCCCTTGGTGGCAGGCGCCTGTAGTCCCAGCTACTCAGGAGGCTGAAGCAGGAGAATCGCTTGAACCCGGGAGACAGAGGTTGCAGTGAGCCAGATTGCGCTACTGCACTCCAGCCTGGGTGACAGAGCCAGACTCCGTCTCAAACAAAAATAAAAATACATAAATAAACAAACAAATAAATAAATAAATAAATAAAAACTGTGATTTCCCCTTAGACAGAAAAACCCCCAAAGAAGATGGTTCTGTGTACATTGCTTGGTTCTTTCTCTCTTGCAGCTATCGGAGGAAGGGGAGATCGTAGATCTGCTGCTGATGAAAATATTCAGTTTCCTGGGCATTAAGTGTAAGAGAGAGGAGCCTGAAAGCAGCAGGGAGCAGCCTGGGTCCCTGTCCCAGACTCGCCGCTCTCAACCAGCACAAGCTTTGCCCAAGGTCTAAGCTGTTCGTTCACACGCCACCGTCTATGAATGGGGACGCCCAGGGCCTCGGACCTGCACTTACCAGTAACTCTGTAGTCTCTCTAGGTCATAGCTTTTGTGTCCATTGAAGAATTACCAAGCCCAGCAAGTAAAAAAAATTAGAATAACAGAGACATATATAAAATTGCCAATACTATGAGAGCTTCTTTGTTCAAATATATTTCCTCTTATTAGGAATAAAACAAATATTACCTGGAGTTTGGGAAAACAGTTTCCTCCACAGACTAATTATTTCGTCTTTTTGGTCCATTGGGGATTGCTTTTGAATGATTCTAGTTCAGGGCTTCTCAAACTGTCCGAGAGATGCTAATGGATGCTGTATTAGTTTCCCAGAACAAAGTGTCACAAACTGAGTAACTTAAAACAACAGAAATGTATTCTGTGCCGGCTCTGGAGCCTGGAAGTCTGCAATCAAGATGTTAGCAGTGGCCGGGCGCCGTGGCTCACGCCTATAATCCCAGCACTTTAGGAGGCTGAGGCGTGCGGATCACTTGAGGCCAGGAGTTTGAGAGCAGCCTGGCCAACATGGTGAAACCCTGTCTCTACTAAAAATACAAAAATTAGCCAGGTGTGGTGGTAGACACCTGTAGTCCCAGCTACTCAGGAGGATGAGGCAGGAAAATCACTTGAACCTGGGAGGCGGAGGTTGCAGTGAGTCTAGGTGGCACCGCTGTACTCCAG